GGGGGGGGGGGGGGCCGCGCTTGTGGAACGGGTATCCAGGATGGGATGATAAGATGAGGTTGGGCGCGTGACGATACTTGAGAATCGAGATTGCGGGCGGGTTCGCGTTCGCGACGGAGATTACTTGAAGAAGCGAGGGTTGGCGTCAGCACGAGCGGCGCGGCCGAGTATACGGAACGACATGAACTTACCGGTATGTCTGTTGAAATAGTTGGGGTCAGACACGGGACGCGCGAGTCATCTTGCCTGCGATAAAAGGGTTGCAGTATACATCTTGCGCTTGGTACTTGGACCTGCCCGTCGCGCTAGCACACATTATGTCTTCTATCGTCAACGCTCGGACCGTTGAGGTCCACATGGGTTTCGGGGACGCTTCCGTCTTCGTCGATGTGCGGGGCAGTTGGCTGGTGAGCGTTGTTGGGCGCGAGATGTGGGATGGCTGACCTTGGATCGGGGTAGGACTTTCTGGCGGCGGCGCTTGAAGCCTTGCGAGACTTGGAGGGCGCGGCAGTCTCTGCAGAGGGGAAGGTCATACGCGTGTACAGTGTCGACCACGGGAGAGTGATCGAGGGTGAGGATTGGGAGGCCGTGAGGGAGGAGGTGAACAAGGTGGTGCTCTGGGTGTGCGGTGAGTGGGGAATGTGAATATGAGACTGTTGCTGATGTGCGTACGAAGATGAGGAGGATCTGCCAGGTGATGTTGTCATTGGCGCCCTGAGCGTTTGGATACCGTGCTGAACGTGTCCAGATATCTTAGAAGTCGAGGCCGCATTGGAGGTGGCGGGCGACGATGATGGCGTGGACGTCGCTGCGTGGGCGGAGGAGGTGGATGCTGCTCAATCGGAGTCCGCGGGGTATACCTGGGCCGAGACGTCGGTAGGTCTGCGAGATTGTGGTTGATGGCATGGCGAATGTTAACGGGAGGGATGCGCGTAGGACCAGCCCGGAGGCGACGTAGAACGTCGCGTCTTCTTGAGCGGAGGTGTTACGGTGCACGGGCGAACGTCGTCCGGGGAGGTAATCTCGTCGACGATGGAGTGGGAGGGACTGTCGGACGCGGAGTTCACGATCAGGTGGGTGGCGGGTGGGTGAGTGTGGTATTGGCGAGGATCTGGAGAATTGTGAGCGCGAGTGTGTACGACTTTCCGTCAACGAAAATATTGTATTGAATGCGCACCTGTATGCTACGCTTGCCTGTCTTTCCGATGAAATGTAAATCTCGCATGTGTCTTCTGGAAACCAGATCGTGCTCTCACGTCCGGATCGGGGAAAGGCAAAGAAGCAAGAAGGCGGGGTTCTCTAGGGAAGAAGTCAATGTAAGCTGTATGAGATCTGCGGGAGCCGAAGAAAGACCTACCGGATCTCCTCGGAGCGCTATGCTCGATCGGTAGATAACGCAAATGTGTCTTCTTGTGGGGGACGCTTCTCGGGATTAGGGTGTTGTTGGGGGAGAGCACGGAGGCCCTAGGAGAGTTGAGCCCAGCGACGCTGTACTGACAGTCCCGGCGGATTCGCCGGGATGCTGAAACACAGCGTCGCTGGGGAAGGTGGTGGGGAGGTGGACGAGTGCGTGATGGAAGTTGAGAGTTGGCGTCGATCGATGGTGGATGGGCGGATGTCTTGCTTCCCACGCGTCATGAGAACTCTGCAAACGGCGCTCGATGGGGCTCCGTCGAGACTTGGTTAGTTGTGGGAGCGCGTTTCCTGTCAGTGGCAACGTATTCCTAGGTAGGCGACGGAGCATGGTCTTGGTCAGTACTTAGGGTGAGGGTGACCCTGACCCGAAGAGTTCAACGGACGCTGGCCTGTTGACGGCGAGAGTTGAAGGCTGCGATGGGCGTGCTTCGGAACGGTGGATGTTGATAGAGTTGTTCTTCATGTCTGAGAGAGCGATGGTGGTGAGATCGTGAGGTTGTGATATGTATTCAAGCGCTGTTGATTGAGAGAAGTGGCGGGTGAACACACGCGCGGGAAACCGGCGCGTGGATGGCAGGCGAGCGAATACTGTACTAACCATCTGGCGGATAACACTCATATTTTTTGTGGTGAGTTATATTGCTGTTTGAAAGAACCCTACGTAACTACGTACGCACCGTGAAGGGTTTGGAGGCATGGTTGACATGCGCTGGACTTGACGCGGCCCGACACTGCACTACTTGAGGGCGAATGGGAAGGCTATTCTGGCGATGTATGCGTGTTGTGAAGACTGGTGTAAGAGTTGACGATATCTGCAAATCTAGAGATCCCAGAATGAGGGGATTGTGATCGCTCTTTCATACTCTACGGCATGCGCAAGATGGCAATGCCGGGCGAGGAAGCGAGGAGCGCGCGTGTGTTTCCAACAACGAAGGCTTACAGTACTGAACGAACGGCAGAAGGTAGCGCTCCCATATTTTCTATGAGATGTATGTACACCCGTATGAGGGAGACCATGCACAAAAATCCGTACGGTGAAGAGTTTGGAGGCGAGGTTGAAGGGGTGGTGAGGAAGACGCGTCCCCGACACAGGCAAACAGGGGGGCCGCTGTGAAGACTACTGATACCGTATTTGGATGCTGTGAAGCCTTGCATGGGGTTTCTGAGTGTATTCAAACGCGGTGACAAAGAGGATGGGGAACTGTGATTGGTCCTTAGGTCCCTGTGGGTTGCGGCGGCTGGATGGTCGAGATGCCGCGCCTAACACTCGCGCCTGTGAGATGCTGGTCGGATACTGTACGAACGATGGGGTTTAGAACGACCAATCTTTGTGTGCTAAGCTTGTCCACCCGTATTAGTAAGGCCATGCACGAAATTCCGTACGGTGAAGAGTTTGAAGACGCAGTTGAAGGGTTGGTAAGGAAGACGCGGCCCCGACGCTGGTCGACTTGCGGGCCGCCGTGAAGGCTGGTGATCCCGCATTTCGATGCGGTAAAGCCTAGCATGAAGATTTGAGACATATTCAAACACAGTGGCGAAAGA